GCTTTCTAGACTTTTTCTGCAAATAATATTCTTCAGCTTTTTTTTCTTAAAAATTCGTAAATTAAGAGTTGTTTATCTTGATAAGTGAGATTTAGATTAAGTGATCTTTCTGACAATTACTGTTTTCTATTTATACTATTAAATAAAATGAATGATATAGTAGACATCAAAGCCAGGTTACCGTTAGCTTAAGATAGAACTGATCGCTATTTTCAGCGGTTAGACTTGATTTATCAAGCAAATAATTAAATTTGAATGTTGAAACAGTTAAAGCTGTGAACAGCTGAAACATAGGCTGACACATTATTTTTTTTAATAACTCTTTAAAATTATTATGATATCAAAACGACTGCCATATTCTTTGGTTTACTTTTCTCTTTTTTCCTACATTTTCTTTTTGCAAATAATTTTACTAAAACATTTGTTATATGTTTGCTATTTATGCTTAGAAAGCAATGAGCTGTAGCAGTTTTTTTTCCTTAAGAGGTAGAAAAACTGCTGCTTAAGGAAAAATGCTGATTGTTATCGGTTATCATCTTTGGTTTTTCATCTTTTTTGACAAAGTGCTTGTTCATTCAATTGTAAGCTTTGTTTTTTAACTTTTCTTCATTCTTTATTTTTCTCTTTTTGCCATAATAAGAAAAATTTTTTGTTTTCGGCTTTTATTTGGTGTGTTGCTCGTTGTTTATTAAGCTGAGTAAACTGCACAATTTATTGATGTATCGGCGCATTAGTCGTTGCTATAAGTTCGATGAACTTAACCTGGGCACAGTTAATTAAGTAGCACTTCTTTGACGTTTACAAATCTTTTTAGCATCTTCACCATTATTTAATTGACCTATAGAAGAGAATAAAGAAGAGAAAAATTGAAGAAAGAAATGAATATGTAAAATTTGAAAAAGTCTTTTTTTTAATTTTGTTTTTTCTTATTTACGCATACGAATTTGGCGACGTTCAATTGTCGTTTTTATGATAATTTGCAGCATACGGAGAAGAAAAGAAAAGACAACGACAGGCAATTATCATTATGTTTGGGCGCCTAAGTAACTGCGGTTTTAGTTTTCTGTACTTCAACAACTCCAAACTTCTATTGAGCTTAACGATCTGTTCTGCTGACAAATTTTTTTCTTTGGTCTTTATCTGCATTTATTTCCTACAACTTCGCTTGCACCACAGAAAAGCTTTTGTTTGTTCACTTTTTTTCCAGGAATATAACGATACTGTAAGAAGCATTTTTTTTTTTTTTTTTGTCTGTTGACGGATACAGTTTTCAGAGGCGCCGCACTAATAATTGCGAAAAATTTCCTATCTTAAGTCGCAATCTAATAGATCAATACAAATAAATATGCTAAAAATAGCAGTATAACTAAGAAGTTTTGGCAAACTGAAGACATCTATTCATTCGGTCAATTGAAGTTTTTATGTCTGCCAACAATTAAGTGAAGTTCAAAACATAGTTTTTCCTCATTAAAATATTCTCTGTTTAATTTTAATTTTTAGTTTTAGTCTTTTTTTTTTTTTTTTTGCTTCATGAATTTCTGCTCTTCAGCACAAATCAAATATTTGAAAAAAAATGAAGTGTAAAAATGTTTCGATTTTTTTTTCTGTCTAATTCTTCACAACTTCCTTTCTTCTAAGGTTTTTCTATTACTTCTTCGTCTATTTATTTATTATTGAACGAAGCCGCTGTTCTATTTACCCAAAATTTGTGCATCCTCATCCATTTTTTTTCTTGTTTTACCACAAATCTTTTTTTTTTTTCAGGAAATTTGCTATTTGAATCAGTGTTAAGGTTTACAGTGTATATTTGTTGACTGGAAAGTTATTTCTTCGTTTAAAATCATATTTTATTTTTTTTAGTTAAAGATGGAAAAAGGGAAATGTTTTTTTTTTTTTTGTCTAAGGAAATGAAGGATATGAAAGTGTTTAAATGTTTTTATTCAGCTCTTTATTTCGCCATATCACACATTTGGCGGATGAACTTTATACTTTTTTCTGCTTTGGTATCAGTTTTTGACACCACGAAAATTCGAATGCAGATTTGTCACTATTGCAACAACAAAAAAGTCAAAGCTAATGTTTTAAAAATGTTAAGGACTGTAAAAGTTTTTTAAGTGGAATATTTATTACTAGTATTATTGTCATTATTATTATTATTATCATCATCATTAATACTTTTGTTTTTATTTTTATTATCATTGTCATTTTTATTATCATTATTATTGTTATTATTAATACTAATATTACTGTTAGTCATTATTTCTTCTGAAGGCACTGATTAGCGTTGCTACTGTCACTTTTTTTTCGTTGCCGCTTCGCTAACTTTGACGATTTTTTTTTTTTATTTTTTGATCAAATATTCTGTTACTATTCAAAGTCAAATTAAAAGATATTCAAAGGTGAAAAGAAGAAACTTTTTTAACAATAATTATTTGACCATTAACGTACAAACTAATTTTTTGATTAGTTAGCTTATTTGTGCACTAACTGTAATTTGTTATTTGTGCACTTTATTTACTTCTTATAATGAAACATTTTGAGTTTGTATGTATCACTTAACAGTTTTACAACTGTATTCGCTCAGATATAACACCTGTTTATGCAAGTAACCGCTAAATGTTTATGGAATGTTACTCTTATGTAAACTTTTCCAATCTCTTTTTTTCTTCGATAATGATACAACATTTTAAGTGTAGTTTTATTGAACTGCCTTAAGAATCAGTTATTGAATTGGAACAATTCAGTTGTTCAGTTTCACATGTGGTTGTTTCTGATCTATCCTTTATTTCTGTCAAACTATACCGATAGGCTGAAATTATGTGGTAGAAGGAAAAAGTTTATGGTTCAGTTCCCAAAGATACATAGTTGTCATTCGCGGTTACAAAGTCGGTTAATTGCTTTTACTTTTTCTTACTATTAGTTATGCAAAGCGTGAGGAAGTTCTGAAAATATAAAGTTGAATTTTCCCTTTTTTTTCCGTTACATGTTACATGCATTTTTCGTTCGACTACTTTTGGAAACTTTTGTATCATTTAAAGATACAAATGAATTGAGAAAATTTTGTATTTTTTTCCTTAATTACGTCTCAATGTTAGATAGATGGTGTTCACTAAATATCTGTTCCGACTTTTTGACAACTTATTTGAGTGTGTGATTATCGTAACAGGAAAAATTTTGGTATTTTTTCGGTTTTCTGTATTTACAAACGTTTTGGCTTTTTTTTTAAATGGAATTTATTTTGCTGGAAAGGATTTAGACGTTTTTATAGTGCAGTTATCAAAGATGGCAGTAGATGAGAAGCATTGGGTTGAACAGTTGCCAAATCAGCCTCCATAAGCTCTGTTTGTAAATGTGACAATGATGTGATCTGTCTGAAGCACTTTGGTGTAAAAAGCATTACTGATGAAAAAAAGTAATTTTTTTTGAATCAGTAATTTGACAGGTTTTTTAGTACGTTCATAAATTACACAAAGGTATGACTTAATTTTGAAACTCATTGTTCTTTTGAGTGAAGAATAACAAAAAGGGGAAGTGCGTAACGGCGATATCAATCTGGTGATAAATCAATTAAAAATTTACGAAAGGAAGTAAAAAAGAAAAGAAAAAGGAAGAACAGAAATTAGCGGACGATCCTCTTTTTTCTTTAGCAGGGAATAACTCAATCTCCAGTTTTGATTCTTCTGAATTTCGAGCGGAAAAAAGAAGGAATAGTAAAAAGTGGTAGTAAAAGATAACCACTATTAAATTATAGATATTTTTTTGGAAACTGTGCATCGGTACTGTTTCTATGTGGTGATCTTTTTTCTTAATTACACTGTCGTTCACCAGTGTTATCTGAGCTAATCAAACAATTTTGTTTGCTGTTCGTAGTTCAGCAGAAGGTTGAGTTGATTTTTATAAAACAAAGATTTTTAAGTGCTTTTTCTCTTCGTACTAGATTTATCAGGAGCATTCAGTTTTTATCAAAACCTATATATTCATTTTGCAAACTTTCTTATTGAAAATTATGTCGTCTTGAAAGCAACAAAATTTGGTACCGAGACGGTGGATGGTTTTTAGCAACTGTTTATTGACTGTTTGCTGAAATGCTTAAGGTTTGATCTGTAGCTACTTTATTCATTGTTTTATCGGAAGAGTGTACTCAAAATATCTTTTTTCTTTTTCATCTACTCGCTTTTTTCGACCATTTTCTCACAGGTGTAAGAACAGTATTGCACAGAGGGAAGCCAAAAAGCTGAAGTACTTTTCGGAAGGTGAATGTTGTTCCATGTTACTTCATTTTGAACTTTCAATATTCTTGTAATGTCAAAATGTATAAATTGTAAGTTAATATTAGAGACGCATTTAAAATTGAAGGTCAGATACGTGAACAACTATGTGAGAGTGTTTGAAATAAATTTATGCTCATTAGAGTAATACTGCAACCATAAGTACTAAAAAAAAAAAAAAAAAAACAATTTTTTTGGCCAGCAATTATTTGAATTGTCAAAATGGCTTTCCTTTTGCTTTTTCAGACCTGTGAATTCAAAAAATTATGTGTGTGCATATGTGTGTATTTTTATAAATATTTGAATGCTGAATGGAGGAGAAGGAAAGACGGAGCTTTCAAGTTACATGCATCTTATAAAATTTTCTTTTTTATATATATTATTTGAAGCGAGAATTAAGGATCTGAAAAATTACTTTTGTAGCTTTTCGCACTGTTTTCTCTTTCTGCTTAATGTGTTTTGAATGACGTATAAATTTTTGTGATTTATTTATATTCGATTATTGTAATCTTTTCTCCGAGTGAAAGAGCTCTTCTGTATGTGTCAGTTTTCTTTTAGTAACCACTCATCTAGTTAGTTAGTTGCAAAAAAAGAGGACAGATTTGTTTAATAAATTTTTTCGATAATTTCAAGTGATTTTATCTATTTTCAATTTTTTTCTTAGTGTAATACTGCTCATTAATTTGTTTCAGTCAGGAAAGTTGGGAGGGGTAGCGGCGAACTGTGTTCGTCATGGCAGAAAATAAAAAGAAGGTAGACGATGATACTGGTGTGACTGAACCGCTAACTGACGATAACGTTGGATTAGCGAAATCATTAACTTTATTTAACGGTGTCTCAATTATTGTTGGATGTATTATTGGTTCTGGAATATTTGTTTCGCCTACTGGAGTTCAGGAAAGTCAGTTGAAAATTTTGAAGTGTTTTTTCTGCGTTACTCTTCTGGGAGAGGGAAAGTAGTCTGGAAAAGACTGCTGATTTGTACAACATGATACCGTTTAAAAAGCGTTGTTAAATTTTAGAAGCCGGAAGCGTTGGTTTGTCACTAATAGTATGGACGGCTTCTGGGATTTTTGCTGGCGTTGGAGCTTACTGTTATGCCGAACTTGGCACTTTGATTCGGAAATCTGGCGGTGATTACGCCTATATTATGGAAGCATTTGGGCCATTTTTGGCTTTTATGCGTTTGTGGGTTGAAGCTATTGTAGTTAGGTAAGTTCTCGCATGCGTTTAAAGTCGCTCTATTCTTTACGCTTAAACATCTGTCCTTTTTTACTCTTTGCGAAAGTTGAGTTTTGAATTTATGAATTCTTAAATTTAGGCCTTGTACTTGCACAATCGTAGCCTTAACTTTTGCGATATATATGTTACGTCCATTTTTCCCAAATTGCGACTTCCCTGATGGTTCTGCTCCGTTACTCGCTGCTACTCTATTAGGTGGTTTGACTTTATTTATCATTTTCATTTATTTTCAAAAAAAAAAAAAAATAAATAAATAAAAATAAAAATAAAAAGAAAGAAAGAAAGGAAGCATTTGGGCTCAGTTGCGGGACTGTTTCAAATTGACTCATTCTCTTTTACAGTGATACTAACGGCGATTAACTGCATATCCGTTCGGCTGGCAACATTTGTGCAGGACTTTTTTACAGTAGCTAAAATTTTTGCTCTTCTACTAATTATTGGAACTGGAATGATACTTCTTTTTACCGGTATTAAATTGTTTCTTCATGTTTCAATGAAAGATTCCAATAATTTTAAGATTTTGTTCATTGTAGTCTGAGACGCTTCAAAAATTGTTTCCGCAGGATGGAAGTCGACAAATTTAACCAAAAATTATTTTTTTCTCAGGCTATTTTCAGTTTCTTGAATAAAAAGTAAGCAACTTTTATGATCTCAGGAAAACCAGAATACCGTGCCTCATTCGAAAATCTTTTCGAAAACACAACGACTGATATTTCGACAGCGTCAGTAGCTTTTTATTCTGGCCTTTTTGCGTATCAAGGCTGGAATTATTTAAACTTTATCGTGGAAGAACTACAAAACCCTAAACGGTTTGTTCTTCATCACCTTTCATTGAATTTTGTTTTATGCTAATAGCATTAATTTACAGAAACTTACCATATGCGATCGCCATATCTTGTGTTTCCTGTACTGTCATCTATGTACTCACAAATATTGCTCTGTACACGGTAATCAGTCCGGAAGAGATGCTCTCGAGCCCGGCAGTAGCTGTTGTAAGTTTATGCTTATTGTAAACCAAAATGTCATAGGTTTCAAGTTTAGTGAGTAACTGGGTTCAGATTGTCTTTTTATTTGGAGGGATTGAGCTGAGTAAAAAATTAGAGTAACTTCCAGAGCTTCGCTGACAAGATGTTTGGGCCGTTTGCATTTACAATGCCAATATTTGTAGCTTGCTCTACAGTCGGTTCCGCTAATGGCGTCATTTTTACGTCGTCTAGGTTAGACTCTTTCTACCTCATTTTGCGTCATTCTTTATCTGTAGGTGCAAATCGCTAGTGTCTTTTCAGCTAGAAGACTGATGGCTTAGTTAAAAACGTTATTGCCGCTGCAAAGAAATGAAACCCAGCAAGTTTTATAGGGGGTGATGAACTTAATTTTTTATTCGTCTAGTGCAGAAGCATAACGTTCACTGATATTCACTTATGAAAATCAGAGCGCTTTAATTTGTCGACGCTGTTTGCAGGCTATTCTATGTCGGAGCTCGAGAAGGTCATATGCCCCTTGTGCTCACCATGATTAATAAACAGACTCGTACACCAATTCCTGCAGTTGCATTTACGGTTTGATTTTCCATTTTCGATAATGAAGACATTTCGCTACGCTTTTCGATGTAGAAAATCTTCATTACTAATTTTATTTCAGGGCATACTTTCTGTCGCATATCTTTCGCTCTCAGGCAATGTCTTTTCCCTTATCAATTGCATAGCCATTGTCTACTGGCTTGCTATTGGATGTGCAACTGCGGCATTGTTTTGGCTGCGCCGCAAAATGCCGGATGCAGAAAGGCCTATCAAGGTTTTGGAACATGGATTTATAGTTTTTCTTTTTTCAATATTTGTTTGGCGCCCTTTAATACCGCAAATAGTCATTCGGAGCTTTTCAAAGGAATACCGAGCGGTTTTCATTAATCTTATCGAAAAAATGAAGCATAAATATTGATACTTTGAACAAATTTCTTCATAATGTTCACAATACAAAATCCTACACACAGTTTGAGGGGACTAGAATCAATAACGACTGTAAAAAATAGTTCCACGATTAGACAACTTTCTCTTTTTGCTACTGAATCATATAACGAATACAACTTTTTTCTTTTTTTAGGTTAACTTAATCTTCCCAGCCATCTTCTTCCTAGGTTGTTGTTGCTTAGTATTTATTCCAATTCTTGGATCACCAAAAGATACAGGTACGCACAAATTGTGTCAACCCCTTTCAATCTTTTAGTTTTTCTTCGTTACGTAAGTAACAAATTTATTGAAGTCGTTGAGTATCGTCTAGATAAACGAAGACAAATATATTTACCCAAACATTATAAAAATGACTTCATTTTTGCAAGGTTTTAGAATTTTGTTGTTTGGATGTACAGTGTTCAAAAGTACAAATATGAAATCATTTTCAACACAGTTTTTGTTTAGCACTTCACTTAGCAGTTTTTTATTTGTAAAGTTTCGGTTTAATATTTTTTTACTTTCTTCTTTTTTTCTCTCAACAGGAATATTATTCTGCTTGAAATGGGACTACTAAGCATTTTTTTCAGTTATTGGACTTAGCATTATGCTAACTTCTGTACCTGTATACATTATCTTTGTAGCATGGAAGAAGAAGCCAAAAGCTGTTGATAGCATTTCAAGTTTGTTTCTTAATTTATATTGAATTTATTTTAATTGTTTAAAATATTTTTCTGGTTTATTCTGCTTGCTAAATTTTTGAACGAATGAAAAGTGCAAAATTTGTGTTTGTTGTATTGGTATTATTGCTGAAGTGTTTTGCAGACGTGGTAACAGTGTTTGTGCAGAAGTTGTTCATGGTTGTGGACGACAATAAAGCCGAATAACTATTTAATTGATTTATACAATTTATACATTACTGCAACTCTTGAAATTTCGTCGTTCTCCTACTGCAAAATTGTATGAGACAATATTATTCTTTAATCATTGCTGTAATTGAAAAACAGTAACACCTTCTGGCACTTACAGTTGTTTTATTTCTGGATAGATGGACAAGTAGGTTTGACAAATGTGTCATTCTGAATCTTATTACTATTTCTTTTACTCTTCCTTCGACTAGTTCTCCTTTTTTCTTCTTTTGTGTTTTTTGCTTCTCAATTTTTGAGCCTCTACTCTGCATAGCAGAGGTTGCCAGAAGAAATGCTGAAAACAAGGTGGACGATTTATTTTAGTGATTTGGAAGTTTTGAATTAGTGATGGTATTCACTGAGGCTGTTCAGTGGTTATGGCAGTAGGAAATTGGTGTGAAGATGACGAGTTTATTTAGAAATAGTTCATTAAGATCTCCTTATTGTTTTATTCGTTTAATTTTTATATTGTTATTAGATTTCGTATTATTTGTAAAACTTCCGCACATCAGCTTAGCTTGATTGGCCATTGTTTTAATGACTTTGAAATTACTATCAAATGTTTGATTTTTTTTTCGTCTGCAATAAATTTTTATATTCATTACCAGTTAATGATGGACAATTTTTCAAAAAAAAAGAAAGGGAAAGAAGAGCAGAAGTTGTTTGATTGCCCAACAGAAGAACAGAATAATTTTTTGCACTTCTAAAATAAATATAAACAAAAAAAAAAAA